ACTCCATTCCTCAGGGCTCAAGGTGAGGCTAAACATCATGGCAGAAGAGTGTGGCGGAAGGGAAGCAGCTTACATCAGGATCAGAAAGCAGAGAAGGGGCTCCACTCTCCAGATCAAAAATATATACCCCACTGCCATGCCTCACCTGCCTCCAGCTACCACTCAGTTAGTCCTATCAATGATTAATTCACTGATTAGGTGAAGGCTATAACACAGTCATTTCTCCTCCAAACCTTCTTGCATTGTCTCACACSACAACCAAATCATAACACACACAAAAAGCAATACAGAGGAAATGAAGAGATATTCCTAAACTACAAGTTGCATCATGAATATATAGCTTGCATTCTACCAAAAGCAATTCTCCATATTCGTAGGAGAAACTAATAAGTACAATCATGTCTAAGATGTACTTGACCTGGGCATGTATGATCCAAGGTTATTTGGTATCATGCTACACTCTTTGTGGCCAAATGATTGGAGGCAATCCACTACACGGTACTTGCATGGTACAATGGTGGCCAGGAGACTTTGGCATGCTTTGACTTGTGTCTTCTCTGGATTTTTGTTGACTACCTCAACCGGCTGTATTAATTTGCTAGCATTGCTATGACAACATCTCACACACTGGGTGATATAAAACAGTAGACTTGTATTTCCTCACAGTCCTGGAGCTGGAAGTCCAAGATCAAGGTGCTGGAGGGGCTGGAGTCCTCAGACTTCTTTCCTGCCTTAGAGATGGCCATTTTCTCCATGTGTCCTCATGTGGTGTCTCTCTCTGCCTGTGTGCTTCTGCTGACTTCTTGTCCTAATCTCCTCCTAGGACACCAGTCAGGTTGGAATCAAGCTTATGCTAAGACTTCATTTTTAACCTAATTACCTCTATAGAGACCCTATCTATAAATTCAAATCACATTGCGAGGTCAAAACCTAATCATAACAGAGACTTATTACTGCTAGAAAGGAAACCAAAGTGAGAGAATCCAGAAAGTCCAGAATTGAAAGGACAAGGGATGTTTGGTGGATGCCACTGAGATGGATGTTTGGTCCATGCCATTGACATGTGGAACACACTAATGCCATACCCCTGTGAGCTTCATCTTCAGGATTAACCAACAGCTTAAATTAAGGGATCTATTAAGTGATATGATAACTAAATTCAAATAAAAACAGWATCCTAAAGGCATCTCATCCAGACGGTACAAAGATTTCTGACACAGACATTCCTTCTGATATGGGCAATAGAAAACTTCTGGCCAAAGAGCTAATGTTTGATGGGCATGTACCCTATGTCACAAGGAACTCTCATGACAGGACATATTAGTAGATCTGGCTCAGGAAAATGCAATAAGATTCAACCTTTCCATACCTGGAGCCAGCTGGGAAGACGGACCAACACTAYAGGCAACCAAATCCAGAGCCAAACCTGGGAAAGCCTGGGTTCTTGACTGTGGCGTAGACAGGACACAGAAAACCACCTGCTATGGTTACAATCTCTCATGTGTTAGAAACTGAATCCCCAAATCCATACATTAATGGATTTGAGATGGAGTCTTTGGGAGGTCATTTGGATTAGATATGATCAAAGGGATGGGGCCCCATGAGGGCATGAGTAGCTTAATAGGAAGAGGAAGAGATGTGTTAGGATGCAGCAAGAGGCCCTTACCATAGGCTGAGCAGTGCTGGTGCCATGCTCTTCCCAGCCCAGTCTGTTGTATTCAGTTATAGCAGCAGAAAATGGACTAAGAAACCATCTTTGCTTGAAGAGGCAATGGTTTTCAACAGAGCTGAGCATCTTCCTTATTARCTCAGGAGATCCACTGGGACCTAGGAGGAGGAAGTTGTAAATGAGGAGTTAGGTTTGATGGTTCTGCAGATAGAATCATGACATGCTTCCCTGAAGATCAGCTATGTTGGTAGACTGCAGRGATCAAAGGTTAAACAGCAGGACAAATGAGCCCATCAACATATGTGACCAGCTCAATTTCATCTTCCCCTGCTGTTAAGGTATAGAACTGTAAAAATCAGCAACCAAACATGCTTAGCATGGCTTGGACCATACTCAAAGTCAAGGTAGCCCCAGTCCCTCTGAAGYGGCTGGGTTTTATGCCATGTTACAAACATCTCACAAAGCCCTGTARGAGCTGGCAAAACAAATGTAGTCCCATGGAATCAGGAACCTAATTATAGGAAGTTTAGATCAAAAAACACTCTTAGAATGGGAGAAAATATCATGGCACTTATATCTGACAGAGGAGTCATATCTAGAATATAAAAATACTCCCACAAATCAGTAAGACCAACAAGACAAATAGAAGAATGAACAAACGATTGTAACGGGAACTATGCAAAAGAAAATACCCAATGTTCAATATCATGTGAATAAGTGTCAACTTTGAGGGAAGGGAAAATTAAAAGCATAATGTGATAGCAGTATACATCTGAAACTAGAATGGTTACAAAGAAAAGCATTAATTATTGGTGACTATGTGGACCAATCAGTATTCTCATGTATTTCTGGGAGAAGTATAAATTGGTACAGTACCTTTGGAAAAATATTTGTCAGTGCTTACTGAAGCAGAACATGCATGCATATATCCAATGATCGAGCAGTTCTACTCCTGGGTATATGGCCAAGAAAAAATGCTTATGTCTACAAAAAGATTTCCTTGAATGCTCGTAGCTAGCTCCTCCACTCATCAGAGCCCCAAATTGGAAACTACCTAAATGCCCATCAACAATAAAATGGGTAAATGAATTCTTGTATACTCACACGATGAACTTCTGTATCAATTATACCACAAACTAAGTGGTTTAAATTTATATATGTTCTTTCATAGCTCTGGAGGCTAGAAGTCTGAAATCAAGGTGTCAGGGCCAAGGTCATTCTTTAGGAATCTGGAGGGCAATCCTTCCTTGGCCTTTTTTTTTTTTTAAGAGAGAGAGAGAATTTTTTAATATTTATTTTTTAGTGTTCTCGGCGGACACAACATCTTTGTTTGTATGTGGTGCTGAGGATCGAACCTGGGACGCACACATGCCAGGCGAGCRTGCTACCGCTTGAGCCACATCCCCAGCCCTTCCTTGGCCCTTTGAGTGTGTGTGTGTCTTGCTGGGCACTGAGCACTGGGCATCACAAATGCTAGGCAAGCACTCTATTACTGAGCTTACCAACAATCTCCCTTCCTTGACTCTTCCAGCTTCTTGTAACCCAGGTGTTCCTTGCTTATAGCAGCACCACTCTAATCTTGGCCTGTCACCACGTGGCCATCTTCTCCCCATGTGTAACTGTGGTATGAGCTGTCTGTTCTGTTGTCTTCTTTACTTTCATTTTGAACTTCCTGAAATACTTGCAGCCAAAGGAAGAGACAATAAAATTTTTTTCTTGCTTCATATCAAAGTTACTGCTTACACTTCAAGCTACCCTTAGAAGGGAAATCCAATGTTATTAACATCCAGGAAAGAGAAATGGTGGAAGGAAAGCATGAGAATTTCTACAAAAAGATGAAAACAGAATTAAATCCATTTAAGAATCTGGACACACCCAGAGACAAAGTCCTTAAACAGCAAAATGCTTAAGCTACCCTTCAGGAAAATCCTACAGACTCCACTTAGCGATGGCAGGGAAACAGTCTTTTCAAGAACGGATATATGCAAAGTAGATCCTCTGATCAATGACCTTTAGAATGTCATGTCCCAGGCTTAAAGTCCCCAGAGCAGAACATGTTACCTCCCCCTATTAGAAATATTTGATCTGTAAAAGGCATGATAACCACCTGTGCCTGCATAAAAGAACCCTCAAACTCCCCTTTCATGCCATTCAATCAATAAGCAACTTCCCCCCTCTCCCCTCCTGTTAATTTGCTACCAGCAACTGACTGGGGAGGCAAATTTAAGCGTCTACTAGCTCCTTGTCCGTGACAGTGCAATAAAACCTTTTCTTTTTCTTTTTTGAGATGGAGTTTATATGTTGCCCAGACTGGAATTGAACTCATGATTCTCTTGTCACAGCGACTATAGCTTTCTGACCCACGTCTAATTTAAACCATTTTCTTTTTGCAAAACTTAGTACTGATTTCTATGCATATTACACAGTGGGTCCTTATTCCATATCAGAAGGTTAAAGCAAACATCAGGCAAATGTCTACCAATCTCAGCTACCTGCAACTCAGCAAGGAAGAAGAGAACCTATTAGTCCTCAGGACTGCACCTAAACTGCACCTGGGAACCGTTTCCGGGTTTTCAATACCCGATTCATAATCCCCAGGGGTGGGGCAAGGAACTAGTATTAAAGGGGCTCTGAGGGTTTCTAAAGCTCAAACCAGCCAAGAATGAGCGCCCTACTGGCTAAGTAAAAAGTGGCGCAACAATCTTGTAAACGAATACTTCYTGAAAAGATTTTCTCGAAATCTCATTAAAATAGCCAGGTAAAAAGGCTCATTTGCGATGTTCCTTTTCTGCAACAAGAAACGTAAGACCGGGAATTAATTCTGGTTATGAGAAATGTGTCAGCGTCTTCAGTTATTTGCATTTACAATAATTTTACCACGAATGTCATATTGAGAAAACTAGCACCTAAGATGCATTTCACAAAAAACAAGGTAGCCAAAATTTACTGAGGACGTCAGGCGCCCAAACCCACCGGGGTTGCCAGTCGTGTTGCCATGAGAGGGGCAGTCACCCTGGGGACCCGTGGGACTGCACTTAGGACGCGAGGCTACCTCGTGTACGAACAGAGGAATGACACGTTGCATTCAAATCATGTACAACGAATCTGCTGTTCATTGTCATAGATACGTTCTGCTGTCACAGATACCTAAACAAAATTMATGAATGAATTAATTTTAAAAATTAAAAAAAATAAAAAGACCCCGCAGAAAAACTGCCGAGCCCCGCCTCGCGGCGCCAGCCCCTCCCTCCCTCTGGCCCCGCCTCAACTTCCGCCCTGTCGCCCCGCCCACCCGCGTCTCCGGAGGCTCGGCTGGGCCCGGCTCCCTCAGCCTCTCTTTCGCTGGGCGCTGGGCCATCTTCCTCGCGGCCCTCCAGCTTCCGTGGCGTGTTTTGTTTGCGACGCTGTCGTGTCACAGCGCGCTTTACGGTCGCGGGGACGGAGCGAGCCGGTGCCAGGGCCACTCGGGCCGGGAAGCAGGGCAGGCGAGCGAGGTTGATGCCCGGCGGCGGGGCAGGCGCGGCGTCTGSCCGGCTTCTCACCGCCGCGGAGCAAAGGGGAGCCCGGGAAGCAGCGACGTTCAGGAGCGGCCCGGGGGGCTCCGGCGGCGGCGGCGGCGGCGGCAGAGGCGGAGCAGGCGGCCCCGGGCCGGGCAGCGGAGGCCCCGGCGGCCCCGCGGGCAGGATGAGCCTGACCCCGAAGGAGCTCTCGAGCCTGCTGAGCATCATCTCCGARGAGGCGGGCGGCGGCAGCACCTTCGAGGGCCTGTCCACCGCCTTCCACCACTACTTCAGCAAGGCCGACCACTTCCGCCTGGGCTCGGTGCTGGTGATGCTGCTGCAGCAGCCGGACCTGCTGCCCAGCGCGGCGCAGCGCCTCACCGCGCTCTACCTGCTCTGGGAGATGTACCGCACCGAGCCGCTCGCAGCCAACCCCTTCGCCGCCAGCTTCGCGCACCTCCTCAACCCCTCGCCGCCCGCCCGCGGCGGCCAGGAGCCCGACCGGCCGCCGCTCTCAGGTACCTCCCGGAGCCGGGTGGGCGGTGCGGAGASTTAGACTGGGCAGCTCCCCGTCTGCGCTTCTGCAGCCCGCCCACCCACCAGAGCAGGAATCCAGGTGTAGCCGAATTACAGATTCATGGCGAATTCCTGGCACCGAGGATGATTGGTCTCCTCTGTACAGGCCATCCAGCCATTCAGGTCCTCAAATAAGGTCCATCTTTCTAAAGGCCGTCTGGAGATGTGTATAGTTAGACCTGTAGTGACACCATGGATCTGTCCCCGTTTGTAAGTCTCAGAGGAGTAAACAAGTCCATATTAAGAACCCAAAAAAGTTGTTGGACGAAAATACACATTAGGCAGCATGTTAAGGACCTTACAGCTGCCTTCCTTGCACTGCTGTGATGTGGTGAGGGTAGGGGATAGAAGGTTGTCTCAAGTTTACGGGCTTTGTTACAAAACGCATGTTTTGCATGATGTAGAAAGTATGCTTGTGCAGCATGGGTGAGATGAGACGTAGGTTAGGTGCCAGGCTGCATTTTTAAATTTCTGCGGTACTGGGGATCAAACCCCGGGCTTCATGCAGGCTAAGGAAACAAGGTGTTCTTGCTTGCAGCCTTTCTGAATCTCAAACATTTTTGGATGCCTTCCTGCACTATCCTCATCTAAGAAGGGCAGCCTTTGTGTTGGGGAAGTTTGTGACTGCCCAGAAAGTGAATGCCACATCAGAATGTTTGTCATGGGGAATGGGGACAGTGTGGGATTTAGGTCAGAAACCCTTTGAATTCTGAAGGGTGTGTTATGTAGAACCCCATCATCAAATACATGTCTAAACCTACACCTTGTTCCTACACTGCGTTGTAAACAGGAGGSGAGGTAGTTGCCAGGAAAGGAATCCCCAGGATGTAATCTCCAGGCCTCAGKTTTCTCAACAATAAAATTCAGATTCTAATAATTCCTAACTGGTAGTGTAGTTATGAAGAATAAAAGTACCTGTGAAAAGTATTACTCGTTATTGTCACTAATATATTTTTTGAGATGGATCTGAAACTCTGGATCTTTTTGCCTCAGCATCCTCAGTAGTTGGAATCACAAGTGTGCATTACAGCACTTACCTATTGTCATCTTTATTCAAATAGGTAGGGATAATGCTTAAATTACACAGAAGAGGAAATGTTATTACCAGAGCTCCAGTCTTAGTGCTTCTCTTGTACATTTAGGGTAAGCATCTAATGGGCATAGTTTTTAAAAAGTTAAAAATCTTTTCAAATGATTTTGAGGTAGGACAGACAATGTATTTGGAAGTAAGAAGGGTGGCTTCCCAAAATCAACAGATTTGCGGTCTGGTTGGGAGAACATAAAGACAGGTCAATAACAGCATGGTAAGGCTGTACTAGGTGTCAAAAAAAAAAAAAAAAGATGCAAGTAGCACAAAGAAACAACCTTCAGAACTGGAAAGATTCCCAGAGGAAAAGTGTGATATCTTTGCTGTATGTTAATTAGGGATGCAGGTAGAAGGGAAGAATGTGGCCCTGCCAGGTTATTGTTAAAGAATTAGGTCTATACAGAGAAGCTGAAATTTTGTCTACCTGGAGTAGGTTACATGAATGGGAGGGTAATCAAGAGGTAAGATTAGGAAGGTGGGTGGTGACTAGATTATGAAGTGTTTTATAATGATGTAGAAGTTTGGGGTTAATTTTATGTATGTGAACTGGTCAAGTAGTATGATAGGTTTGTATTCTAGAAATAGAATTAAATGGCAAGGTGGGGCATGAATGGTGGATTAACAGGGGTCAAAACTGGGATGGTGCAAGGTTGACTGAAGCCAATAAAGAAGAGAGTTATAGAAAATTGGGAGCTAAGGAAATCAGACAGACTGTCCTGTAGTTCAGGCAAGAGAGGGGGGACTGGAGCTGAGGGAATGCAGACTGGGGACATTGTAAGATATCAATAGTTGATAGATAAGGCTTGGGGAGCAGTTGAATATGGACAAAAGAGAACCTTCAGTCTTGTGGAGATGGTAAAGTTGCACTGTGTACTGAAGCAGGTATGTTACTACTGATGAATTTGCTTCCCCTGTCTCTTTAGCTTCTGCACAGTCAGTCTTAGGAAGCACTTCAGAACATTATAGTGTTTATATCTGTTTTTGTTTGCATATATAAGCTTTGGTCTTTACAGGAATTGAGGGACTTAGAAAGCAAAGTTTTTAATAGTTACAGAAATATATTTTTTTGATAATAGTACCACAAATCATAGAATTTCCAGAGGCTTAACTAATTACGGAGTTCACAGAGGTATATATTTCATTAACCTAAATTCAGTTATAATTTAGTTTATAAAAATTTGTAGGTTGCAGTGACAAGTAGCAAATACTAATTTTACTGGATCTGAGTTACTTTTTAAAAGTAACCATAAGAGAAATCATTGTACATCTTTGTTTACAGGATTTTTACCTCCTATAACTCCGCCAGAAAAGTTTTTTCTTTCCCAGCTCATGCTGGCACCCCCAAGGGAACTCTTCAAAAAGACACCTCGCCAGATCGCTTTGATGGATGTCGGAAACATGGGCCAGTCTGTGGACATTAGTGGGCTTCAGTTAGCTTTGGCTGGTAAGGAAGAATTGGAAGTTTGAGCATTTTTGTCTGTTTTTGAGATATTCTACTTAAAACAAAGGTCTTTGTAATCTTCATTGTGAAAAGGGTTAGTTACCTTTCATTTTAAAGTAGTTTCAGTACTGGATTCTAAATATATGCCTTCGATCATCTATCCATTCTCCCTCAATGTAAAAAGAAGCAAGCATACCTTGTTGTTTTGGAGCTAGCTACACAGATCATCTCTGCAGTCTTGAAGTAGAGATGTTTTTCAGTAGGATCTATAGACCAAAGGTGTATTTGTGGATGATGTAGGGTATTTTTCCTCTTACTACTAGGAATTGAACCCAGGGTTCCTCTACCTCTGAGCTATATCCACTAGTTCTTTTTAAATTTTATTTTTAGACAATCTCACTAAGTTGCTCAGGTGGACCTCAAACTTGCAAGCCTCCTGCCTTAGCCTCCCTAGTAGCTGGKATTACAGGCTTGCATGTGCCACCACACCCAGCAGTTTGTGCTTTCTTAATTTACGGGGAAAAAAAAAGCAGGCAAGTTAAACATTAGTGACTACAAAGAGAAGATTTACCCTTTAACAATGACAGTGTTCATTAAATAAATTTTATTAAAAACCCRCCAATTAGTTGACAATTTGCCAACTGAAAAATTTTTTCTTACATCTTGAACAATAGCCTGTTTTCTAATAACTTTTTGTACTTCTGTAGTTTGGATTAAAAAAATGCATCAGGGTAATTTTGTTAGCATTTTTTTTTTTTTATTAAGGAGACAATTGGGTCATGTCTAAGGCATTTTTTTKGGGGGGTGGGTACTGGAGAGTGAATCCAGGGGCACTGGACCACTGAGCCACATCCCTAGCCCTATTGTATTATATTTTAGTGACAGGGTCTCACTGAGTTGCTTAGGACCTCACTTTGTTGCTGAGGTTGGCTTTGAACTCATAATCCTCCTGCTTCAGCCTCCCAAGCTGCTGGGATTATAGGAATGTGCCACCATGCCCAGCTGATAWAATTGAAATGTAGGAATTAAAAAAATATATTTTGTGTATGTATATACACACACTCACATATAATCTGGCCATTTTTTTTATGTTGTAAAAAGCAAGTGGCTTTACCCCTTAGTAGCTTGTCCTTTCACTCTTCCTCCTGATGTCCTCAATTTTTAAACATCTCCCATTTTAACCTCTTTTAGAACGCCAGTCTGAACTGCCAACTCAAAGTAAAGCCAGCTTCCCTAGTATTCTCAGTGATCCAGACCCGGATTCTTCTAATTCTGGATTTGACAGCTCAGTTGCCTCCCGGATCACAGAATCTTTAGTCAGTGGACCAAAACCACCTATTGAAAGTAGGTATATAGAGATTAATTTTATATTCTTGGTTTTATTTTATCAGCATTCACTGAAACTTTTCAAGTTTTTGAGACATCTTGTTATTTTCATTACTACTTTAACTTTAGTTTAATATAAAACTTCTAGGAAAGTATCTATAGAGAGCTCAGTGAAAATTAGTTTCTTCTTTAAAAGAGTTACATACAGCTTGATTTACATATCTTACATCTTGAAGATATAAATTCTCTGATTTTACTGAAATCAGTCTATTTATTACCATTACCTTCTCCACTTTAAAGTTTTACTGATTTTACAGCTTTTAATTTACTTTAATTCAAAGGAAGCGCTTACTGAATTTGAAGTAATAGAGCTGCACCTTTTGGTTTGACAGGCCTCCATGTTTGAGTGATGAAGGCAAGTTTTCTGCTTCGGGATGAGAACATATTCTCCAGATTACAGTGCCACCATTAGTTTGAAACTTAYACTGACTCGTCATACCATTTGGTTTATAGTATATATTTGGCATAAGTGGGTTTAATATTTGAAGTTTTATCTAGTCACAAGTGGGCCTAAAGATCCATGCCACATAATGATTTATGTGTAGTATTTGCTCAGGCACAACTTTGAATTGGATGAGCCTCCAGGACGGTATCTGAAGAGCACATCACTCATAATAAGTGAGTCCGACCACTCACCAGGCATTTCCTCCTCACATAAGTAGCACTTCTCATGAAGTGTTAGACTGTTTATTTTCATAAGTGGTCTGAAGAGGGATTCAGATACCAGTCCTTGGGCAGCAAGATGTGTGTCAGTTTTGTAGCCAGAAAACAGTCTTTGGCAACAAACTGGATAGCATAATCCCCAATTTGATAGGGACTAGGATGCATAAGAGAATAAGCCACCTTTGCCCTATGGGAAAACCAAAGTGATGTGTGACATAGGTTCAGCAGAAATCTAGCCAGAGTTTATTTTAGTGAGTGTGTAACTTACAGGTCTACCCTGTTTTATAAAATAGTTAAATATACTCACTTCATTTTCCTGTTTTATGAAATGRAAATGGTATTTGTGAATTTGAGGATTCATGAAAGACTCGATTCATTTGAAAATGTCAACCAATACTTTTCCTATTTTGTCATTTCACCATACATAATTTGTCACTTCAGAGTTATTAAATGTAAAGCTAAAACTTGTACAAATCATAGGGGTCCATGAACAGATTATTAGTGGCAATTAAGAGAAGAATGAGTGAAGATGAATAGTATTTCATCTTTCCATTGAAAAATGTACCACTCTAAGAGTTGTGTCTTGAATGGTAGTCATGTGTGAATTAGAAGTGTTGCTCATAGCCCTGCTTTCTTCTCCAAAAAGTAATAGGTGTGTCTGGCATCATGCTGCTACATTGGTTTTTCATGTTCTTATTTGTATTCTGGATGAAATCTGACTTTCTGAATCATTCCTGCTTCAGATTTTGAAGTGTGAGAGTTTTATCATGTTATCTTTTTAAAGGAGGCATTTGTGTACTTCATAAAGTAAAATTTATGTGTGGTGTGTCACATTAGCTCACTGACAGTCATTTGAATATCACTACTCTCATTATAGGCCATTTTCGGCCAGAATTCATCCGTCCGCCACCTCCACTCCACATTTGTGAGGATGAACTGGCTTGGCTCAATCCTACAGAGCCTGACCATGCTATTCAGTGGGATAAATCTATGTGTGTTAAGAATAGCACTGGTGTGGAGATCAAGCGAATTATGGCAAAAGCCTTCAAAAGCCCCTTATCTTCTCCCCAACAAACACAGGTATGTGTGTGTTCCATGTTTTAGTTTTAATCCATCATGAGTTTGTTTTTCATAAGGTGATAAATGAGCAGTACACTGAAATTGACAACATGAGTTAGCAATAACAAGTCTCAAAGGTTTTTGGATCTCTGAGGCTTTGTTTTACCCTTTCCCTTTTGGTCATTTCGCTGTGGTAGGGCAAGAAGTCAGGTGACTGAAAATGTTTCAACTTAATGATGAGTTTGTCTTTGACAGAGGTGAGGTAGGAGAGGCCTCACTTTTTGGCACTGTGCTCCTGCTCTGTACCAGCTGTGCATTTTATATACATCTTTGCATTAAAACTGGACAGTAGCTCTTTTGAGTGGAGTAATTTCATTTACCTCTGAGGTAAGTAGAATTATTAACATCTTATAGAGGGAGAAATGGCCCAGAGAAGGTGAACTAGCCCCCAGTACATAGCTCACTAGTGATAGATTTGAGATTAAAAATATTGCTTGCTACCCCAGGGGCAAGACAAGATTGTGGGAGGTTTCTCTTTGATGAATTTTATTCAGTTTGCACACTTCCAAGTTAGAGCTAGTAGGGGAGATAATGACATCTCCAATTCAGTTCATCATCAAAAGTATTTTCAATGTCATTTAAGAGTTGTTTGTAGTTCCTTTTGTGTAGATCATTCTGAAACACAGTTCACTGGGTAACATTCAAGTAGACAAGTAAAAGCATATAAAATTGCAAGGAAAAAGTGCTTATTCGGCACCTCCAAATTTTATTTTGTTGTTGAGATGGAACCCAAGACCTTATACATGCTAGGCAAACACCCCACCATTGAGCTGTGTTCCCAGGCCTGAAAACAGTGTTTTTGAGGAAACCTCTTGAAATTGCAAAATGTAGGTGTGACTTGCAATGCATCCTGCCCCGCTCCTTGGGTATTTCCATTCTCCGTCTGGGTAGGGTACAGCAGGACAGGCATTATTTCTGATGTTCATTAATTCTCTGTGGTTTGTGCTTTTTGGAGACCAAATTGGTGATTAAGATTATTTCTGAGCAGGGTACATACCTGTTACCCCAGCTACTCAGAAGGCTGAAGCAGGAGGATCACAAGTTTAAGGCCAACCCTGGCAATTTAGCAACACTCTGTCTCAAAATAAAAAGGGCTGGGGATGTAGCTCAGTGGTACAGTGTCCCTAAAATAAATCCCCTGTGTACTGCAAGGAAAAAAAAAAAAAAACTACAAAGGACTTAGGATGATAAGACAAGATCCTATCCAACCAGACAGTATTGAGTCTGCTTTCATGTCTAGAAGGAAACACTAGCCAATTTACAAGCTGTYTTGAATGTTTGTATTTTAGTATCCTTACAGTATTAAGACATGAGGACCATCAGTTTGAGGGTAGAAATTTATGAAATTGGTGAACATGAGTTTTATACCTTTTTTGTGTAAAACAACTTTGTATGAAGGAAAAACAATTTCCAGTTTGATTTAAAAATCTCTTTTTTTTTTCCTTAGCTCCTTGGTGAATTAGAAAAAGATCCCAAACTTGTTTATCATATTGGCCTCACTCCAGCCAAACTTCCAGACCTAGTGGAAAACAACCCTCTAGTTGCAATAGAAATGTTGCTGAAATTAATGCAGTCAAGCCAGATCACTGAGTATTTCTCTGTCCTGGTCAATATGGACATGTCTTTACATTCAATGGAAGTCGTAAATCGGTAAGTTTTCATATTTGAGCTAATATGTGGGGTTATAAATGATTAAATGTCCAGGAAAGAGAAGCTGCTACAAAAAGCTGTATAATGTTTTTTCCCCAGATATTGATTGTTGCCTAAGATAAACCACTTCAGAAGTAATCTGAGCCTCAGTGTTTACTGCATGTGAATTTAGCATCCATTAATAAGAAATTTGAGGGTTGGATTTCAACATATTTCATGTTAATAGAAGCATGAATGAAATATAATTGCTTAAACTTACTTCCCTATACAGTATTTGTTACCCTTATATAAATATAGATATTAGGGACTTTTTTCTTAGAAATTTAACAGCTGTTAATATGGGAAAGTACTAAATTGATGTTGGCAGGAGGGCCTAATACTGACAGCCCCCATTGGCTGCCCTGAAAAACTATCTTTGCATTATTCATGGTGCAGCTCCCCACTCGCTTCAACCACCTCCACTAGTATGGACTCCAACAGCTTTACTGCCAGAGTCCCTGAACACTAGTTTCCTTTTAACCACTGCATCAGATCACCAGTGTGCCCTACCAGTCAGACACTGGCCATGGGCACTAGCTCCGAGAACACCACCAAAGACTTAATGGAAGAGGCAGAAAATGAAAGAAACACSCCTTAAATGAGAGTACTAGTGAGGAAAATGGGGAGCTGGAGGCTGACAATGAGGTAGATGAAGAAGAGGAAGAGGATGGTGAGGAACAGGATGGAGTTAAAGATGAGGAGGCTGAGGCAGCTGTGGGCAAATGGGCAGCTGAAAATGACAAGATTGATTACGTTGATACCAAAAAGCAGAAGGCCGATGAAGATGACTAGATAGTAAAAAAGGAAAAGTTAAAG